ACTGAAATTTAGCAAGAAGGCTTACTTCTGCTGGGGACTGTCAACCCCTTTGCATACTTTATCTCATTTGATCCTTTAAGGAGATGAGAGTCATCTGTATTTGGAAGGTAAATAAACAGAGCATCACAAAGGTCAGGAGCTTGTCTGCATTTGCTTATGGGTGAAGAGACATCCAAAACCAAAGTGCTTGATTTCTAAATTGCATTTTTTAGCTACTCCCAAACACCCCCACCTTCCCACCCACTCCACCCCACTTGGAGGGCCAGTTTCTTCCTTGTCCCCAAAGTCCTGAGATCGCTGAGAAGTGTCTGATCCCTTTGCATTTAGTGAGCCCCTTTGACCACTGAAGTTTGCTGCACTCTGCAGTTAGTTTATCATAATTGTCCCCACCCAAAGGGTAGAGCCCCAGGAACTTGCATAGAAGACCTTGTTCTTCCCCACACCCTGAAGCCTGTATTGTGTAGTCCACACCTCTCCTGGGCATCTCCAATTTGCCTAGTTTCTGGGGTATCAGTGAGATTAGGTATCAGCCTAAATCTCAGAGGGTACGAAAATGATGCAGCAGCAGATTGTGTGTAATGAAGCAGGGAGAGGAGGCAGGGCTGCAGCTGGCCGTCATGGGAGATTTGACTGAGGGGCCTGAGGTGGGCCAGCAATATCCCTCCCTCCTCCAGGGAAGGCAACAGAAAGAGATTCACAGCACAGGCTTCAGTGTGGTGAGGCTCAGAGGCTGATGCTGGCCAGAAAGCCCTGGCTTCTCATTTTCCCCAAGTCACTGACTGGCTCTGTGACATGGACTAAGACATTGCATTCTTCTTCTCCTTCTCCTCAACCTCCTTCCTCTTCCTCCTTCCCCTCCTCCTCCTACTCAAGACAGGGTTTCTCTAGGTAGCCCTGGCTGTTCTGGAATTCTCTCTGTTAACCAGGCTGGCATCAAACTCACAGAGATCCACCTGCCTCTGCTTCCTGAGTGCTGGGATTAAAGGCGTGTGCCAACGCCGCCGCCGCCACCACCACCAAGCAATCCAACTTACTTTTGCGACAGCCTCTCGGTGAGACCTGCAGGTTGCCATTTTGAAAATAGGCTATCTGACCAGTGAGCCTCAAGGACCCTCCTGTCCCTGCTTCCCCAGCTCTGGGTATTCAAGCATGCACCACTATGCCCAACCTTTTATGTGAGTGTTGGGGAGCAAACTTCAGATCCTCATCCTTGAGCAACAAGCACTTTACCAACTAAACTGAGGGATGGCTCTAGCACCCACCCCAACCCTCATTTGAGCTATTACTGCTGTTTACTGTGAGGAACATCTTCATTAAGTTTCACAATATATATATATATATATATATATATATATATATATATATATTTCAATATATATCAGCATAGCACTTGCATAAATGCTAAGTTTAAAAGAGCTTCTTTATTGCTTTATTCAAAGGAGTTTTGGTACCCTTTTTACTAATACTTTAGTGCTAGAAGTGAATCCCTGGTCTTCCTTTTGGATTGTCTAGTGTGCATGTGGGGAACTGACAAGTTGCTTCAGGAAAGCACTTCAGCTCTGGCCTCTTGGCCCCTAAGCCGGCCCTGAGACCAGGCTGGGTCAAGCACCCTCCCTCTATAGATAGGTAAGTGACGGTTCAAAGGGCTCTAGTGAGATCTAATGGTACCCATACAGAGCCAAGCTGGAGAGCCCAGATCGTGTTATCAGCTGTTTCCAGCCAGTAGCTTTTCACGCCTTTTCTCCTAGCTGCTGCTTGGGAAAGAAGGGGTGCTGGCTGCTGTCACTTGGTTTCATTGCCAGCGACCGGAAGTAATGTCTTTTACCTGATCGGCGACTTGACATGGCTGCTTAACAACCCGATTAATCAAACCTAGCTCATCCTGTTAGAATTAATGAGCCTAGGAAACGCTGCCATGAATAATGAGGGCTTTGCCCCTCCCCCAGCACCTCTCTCCACCCACCCCTCCCATTTCCTTCTCATAGTCATAACACAGATACTCAGCACCTCAGGGAGTTTGAGTTTGCTACGTGTACCAAATGGTCAGCAAGGTGCACAACTCCTGTCTCCTCTTTGCTGCCAGACATCAGGGTTAGAACCCTCCAGGACATAGCCAGTCATGGGTTCTTTTTCATCACACAGATAAGCCCATGATCAGCTGCCAAAGTCAGATTGTTGTCTTATGGTACCAAGTGCTAGGAATGTAATGTTGTGCAAAATACTGCCCGGTGAGGGAGTGCAGTGACCTGGAGGAGACTAATAGGGACGTGCCATGAAACGGGATTGAGAAAGGCCACAGAGAAGAGAAGCCATCTGTAATTGAGGAGCAGTGTGGGGAACTTAGGAGATGTTTTGTGGCGCTGAATACCTGAGTATTTCTGCTACCCAGTAAATTCATTGCACATAGGTGCATGGAGTTCCAGGTACTGTAAAAATTACTGGGTTAATAAGATGAATATGGTTGGCCTGGTGGTGGTGGTGCATGCCTTTAGTCCCAGCACTCAGGAGGCAGAGGCAGGCAGATCTCTGTGTGTTCTAGACTAGCCTGGTCTGCAGAGCTAGTTTCAGGACAGCCAGGGCTACATAAAGAAACCAAAAACAAACAAACAAACAAACAAATGATGAACATGGTTCCTGTACTCATAGAGAGGGCAATGCAGAAGCCTAGGATGACATTTGGTTTATTTATTTATTTATTTATTTATTTATTTATTTATTTATTTATTCATTTAGTTATTCAAACACAAAAGGTTGCCAAGTGCTTTCCACTATAGGGCTTGGCACCAGGAAAAGGGTGTACAAAGATGTAAACCTTACCCCTGCCTTCCCGGGTCCTTTGAAGGGCAGATAGGTCCAGCACTAGATCCTTGTGGTCATGGGTTGAGTTCTCTAAGAGTGACATGCTCAATTCATCCAGTATAAAATCCTCTCAGGAGAAGGCATGGATGACTTCCCTCGGGAAGTGGCATTAGAGCCACCTGAAAACCAAAAGGAACCGTTTGAGTAACTGAGGACTTCACACAAGCCAAGATTAAGGTTTTATGTATAGGAGTTGAAGTGAAAGGGAAAGATGATTGCAGAAATCATAAAAAGGAGATGCTTGTTTCTGTAGTCTACAGTGAAGAATGTGACTAAAGATGCAGATGGATACACTTAGGGGCCAGAAGATCCTGGGCTTGTTGATTCGTGGCTGAGAAGAAGGCATAGTTTCCTAAATGATGAAATATTCACGTTAGCAGGAAAATGGCTCAAGCAGTCTTACCCAAACATAGTATCACAGGGCTCAGGAATTGGGCTGGGCATGGATCCTTTGATAGGAGTGATACAGAAGAGCTGAATCCAAAAGAGTGACCTTGACTGGAAGCATGGAGAGCAAAGGAAGACAAGACTCAAGAGCAAAGGCCCAGAGTAAGATCAGAGGGGATGCAGAGCCCAGGTGTTAGGGTCCCTAGGAAGGCAAGTGGAAGAGCTGAGTTAATTGGGGATTTAATGAGCAAAGAGGGTGAACAGGCAGCTGGGAAGGAGAAAGAGGATGAAGAGAGAGCCCAAAAGGGGAGATGGTAGCCAGGCCGTGGTGGTGCACCCCTTTAATCCCAGCACTCCAGAGGCAGAGGCAGGCAAATCTCTGTGAGTTCATGGCCAGCCTGGTTTACAGAGTGAGTTACAGGGCAGCCAGGACTACACAGAGAAACTCTGTCTCAAAAGAACAGAAAAAAAAAGAAAAAGAAAAAAGAAAAGGAGAGAGAGAAGAGAATAGCTGGTGAGATTCACAGAGGCACTCTGGGGCCACCGTATCAGGTGACAAGAGACACAGGTTTCAAGCATGGCTATCTGGTGTGTCACAGGGAGCGCTAGAGCATAAATAATCCTCACTCTGCAGCTCAGTTACCAGGGGTTTCCCATCCTGATACCATCTAGCTTGGCCAGATTTATTTCCCAGCTTCCAATACTCCTAAGATGGTCTTTTGTCCTTTGCTGGAGTAACCCAGGGCTTCGGCAAGGACATTAGCCAACCTCCAGTATCCCCAGGATTGAGGCCTGACCTATATTTCTTTTCCACTCAGGGACCCACCTTGGAAACCATCATTTGAGAAGGCCAGTATCTTTGCAGGGAATGCAAAGGCTCAAGTTCAGAGTTCTTTGGCCTATAGGCATTGCTACACTCCTCAGGGTGACCCATGTGACATATTTTTAAACTGTTCCAATCAGACTGCTGAGAAGTTTTAGAGAAAGATTCCCTGTAGGACTAAGGGGAGTCTGTATGGGGTCCTGGGTTCAATCACCAAACACTACAACTACAAATTCTATCAGATTCCCTCATCTGAGGCTGGCTAGAGATGGTGGAGGCCGTCCTGGTTTTGATCTGTATGCTCCAGATCACTCTTGTCTCCACTAGCATATTTCTGTCATTTACGTCATCTCTCTAGCCCTGTGGGTAGTTGGGTTTGGTTGAGTTTCCAAAGAGAAACTTGAGGAGCCTACCACCCACTATTGAACTACAGAAGGCTTCCATGGGCATCCAAAGTCTTCTTTTGTGTGTGTATATGGGGAGTTGGCGTTGAGACAGGGCTTCTCTGTGTACCTTTGTGGCCTGTCCTGGCACTCATTTTATAGACCAGGCTGGCCTCGAACTCTCAGAGATTCACCTGCCTCTGCCTCCCAAATGCTGGGATTAAAGGAGTGTCACCACTGCCTAGTGACATCCTAGGTCTTAAGCAGTTCAAGAAGCATTGTTTTGTGTCTTTCCAGGTAGGAGGAAGGTCTCAGACTTCCTCCTAGTTTAGCTGACTAAAGCTGTTTGGCTTCTTTGGTAGGAATGTTGAGGCCCAGGCCTCTTCAGTAGACTCTGGTGCCTTCAGACAGAGCTTGTGGCCTGGATGGAGTGACCTTATCTGACCTATCAGAGTGGCTCAGATCAGGGTTTCTGTATCCATCCACCTATCTATCACCTGCTGGACTGAGGCTCTAGGCTTATCATATTCCCTCTTTTTCTCCCGCAGGGAGAGCTACTAAGCCCATGCCGCTGTGATGGTTCAGTCAAATGTACCCACCAGCCGTGTCTCATCAAGTGGATCAGTGAAAGGGGCTGCTGGAGCTGTGAGCTGTGTTACTACAAGTACCATGTCATCGCCATAAGCACAAAGAATCCTCTACAGGTAAATCCAGGCTTCTCAGCCTGGGCTTCCCTCATTACTTGCTTTATTGTAGGGGAATTACTGAACCTCAGATTCAGGGCAGCTTGGTGACTAGGAAGAAATGTGTTTTTTCCCCTTAAGTCTAGACAAGATGGGGAAGGGTTGGGCAAAGAGAAAAATATACGACATTCAAGGAAAGTGGTTAGGGGAGATGGATGGAAGAGACAGAATAAGGTAACTGGTTAATGAGAAGAGGAAAGGAAGAAAGGAGTGGGAAAGAGGAAGAAACAGAAGGACAAGAAGGGAGGGAGGGGAGGAGGGAAGAAAAGAGAAAAGAAAGCAAAGACAAAGAGAGCAGGTAGGTGATTGGGGATACGTGGTGGGAAAGGTTAGGCTTGAGTTAAAGCCAAGGGCTTTAAAAGAAGCTGTGTAGACGAGATGGCTCAGCGGTATTCTTCAGACTTTAATGTGCTTGTGATTTAGCTAGAGTCTTAACAAGTGGATTTCAATTCACTGGTCTACAGCAGGGTCTGAGAGCCTGTATTGCTAACAAGCTATGGGGGATACTCCTGCTGGCCCACAGACCACACTTTCTGTGACAAGGGACAGAGTGGGAAGGAATGGAGAAGAAACAGCCAAGAGGGGCAAAGAAAATGGAGGAGGGGGTGTGCAATAAGGAAGAAGAAGCCATGATGAGAGAGTAACAAAAGCCTACCATGAGAGGTAAGGGAAAGCGGCGCCAGAGCTAGAGTAGAGACCTGTCAATCAGATTGGCAGAACTCTGGGCTCTCTCTCTGCCCACTCTCTCCTTTCTTCCTCTGCTGACATAGCCATCTTCACCCCAATTGCTGGCAGGCTCTGTGTCAACCAGACACATCAAACAGTTTAGCAGTGATGATGCCCTCCCCCCAACCCCACCCCCCACACTCACATCTGCTTCTGAAAATACCTCCACATACACATCATCTGTCAAGCAGCCATGTAATCAATTAGCCAGCAGGACAGTGAGGATGGAGACCACAGATGCCTGACACTTTCACTCCTCTGTGAGTGGGGCCGAGTCAACCTTGCAAATCCAGGAGGGCTGGGAGTGGGTGATTGTAGTGGGGTCTTTGCATTGAGCCGCACTTAAAAAACGTGTGGAGTTCCCTGTAGCGTTCTCCAAGGGGGAGCTCTCAGGGATTTGGGGGAGGGAAGTGTCAGATCCCCAGGCATCTCAGCCTCTGGATGGGGAGCCCCTCCTGACTGCTGTTCCATCTTCAACCATTCATCTCAGATCCTGAGGTGTCTTAAAATAGCAGTGCCAAGCAACAGCTGATCCCAAGTCCTCGGGGTGCAGTGGAGGTTTGAGTGCATTAACCTGCCCCTTTCTTTACAGCTGACTCAGGCCTCAGGAAAGGTCAGATCCAAAATCTATGAACTCACCCCAAGACACCCCCATCTTGGTTCCACCTTTGACTCATATAATGAAAAAATCATTCAGGTATAGCTTTTTCCTTGGAGTAAAGAAAAGGTTATTTTAAGTCTGCATCAGGTAAGCAAATGGCAGTGCAGGCAATATCAGTCTGTTAATCTATTTCCAAGTTACTACGCTGACTTCAATTATGAGTTTCTAGGCACTGGGGACCCCTGTGCATCTGTTGATCTTAGAAATGCAATGGTGTGCACTCAGTAAATGCCAGTTCATTTTTCTGTCTAGAAACAGTTCAGACTTGAAGCTGTGCTGTTTGGTTGTATCTTAAATTGTTCCAAGTGTGTGTCCTGGGCTTCTCTGTCCTGGCTAAGTGTGACACAATTGCCTGTTCTGCCACAGTGGTCATCCTCTGTGCAAAAAGCCCAGCTGGACTATCTGCAGTAGAGGTTGGAGCTGGCAGACCTGACTAGAAACCAACAGAGCAATGGATAGATTTCTGCCATCATAGCTGGGAGGTACCTTTCCACATATCTTGGCTCTCTCACCTCCTGGTTTGTGTCCCAGACAAAGATGGAAGAAATAATTCAAGTCTTCACGATAGGGCATCATATTAGTGACATTCTCAAAGTAAGGTTTGTATCTAGAATATCTACTAAGAAAGGAGTCATAGTCTAGTGGGTCTCGGGGCCCCATCAACTGCTTCTCACCTTGGTTTTTGATACCTCTGAATGGAAATTTCATGAATTCATCCCGTGGCTTTAATTAACCATGGCCAACTGCCACCAAAAATATTAAAAGGAACACTCTAGAAAAAATAACTTTTAATTATGTATTGTTCTGAGTGAAAAATGTAATAACTTCCTGCTCCATCTGCCCAGGATATGAGTCATCTTTTTGTTCACCCATTCAAGCTGTATGTGCTGTTTACCCATTGGTTACTTGGGAGCCATCTTGACTATCAGATCAATTGGCATGAGGCAACACAGTACTTGGATATAGGGGCCACTACCATCTGAGGCTTCAGGTGTCTTTTGGAGGGGCTTGGAATGCATCCCCCTTAAGTGAAGGAAGACTATGATAATATTAATAAACATTCCATTTCTACTTGTTAAGCGTCAGTTCACACCTATTATCAAATTTAAACCTGGAAACAACTCCATGAAGTGAGTACTATTATTACTTGGTGCACAGGTTTAGACAATGGAGGCACAGAAGGATTTGTGAGCTTGCTCAAGGCTGCACAGCTATGAAGCAGAGGAGCAGGTTGCTGTCTGCAATAGGAATTTCTGAGTCCAGACACCTGTCCTCTTCTAATGTAATACCCAGGCACATGAACATATATAGGCTTACCCCTGCCTTGACAAGTTTATCTGTGTCTTTACTGAAACAGTAAAGAATGCCTTTCACGCCCTGGCTTCACATTAAACATTCACAATATTCTAGGAAATAGACATCAGTTACTTCTGGCTTTGTGTACAGCCCCTCATCCTCACCCTTCTTTGTCACACTCACTTTGGTCAGGAGCCTCATTAGGTGGCTTAGGGTGGGAAGGAAGATTATTGGGATAAAGAGGACTTTTCTACATGTCTATATCATTGGGATTATGACAGAGCAGGAAAAGGTGGGGATGCCTAAATGGTAGAAACAAAAAACTCCTTAGAAACTCTCTTATAGACAGTGGGGCTTGGCTCTGGAAAAAGCATTTATTGTACACGAGGGAAGTCTAAATGATAAGGCTGATAGAGCCGTCTTCTGGAAAATGCCTTTGTTATGTGTAACCCTAGGCTGGGGAAGCACTGGAAAATTTAAAGGGCTAATTCTCTGTAATGGGATTCGATATGTGTAATTAAATGTTAAGGCCCATGCCCTACATCTGAACTAAAAGTGAGATGTTTTCCAATACTTACTGTTCCTTGGAGGTGAAAGGAAGTGTGGCTCTGCAGGCCTTGCCCTTCACTCCCATTCCCTTTGTCTTGCAAAAAAACAAAACAAAAAAACAAAAAACAAAACCCTGTTAGATGCATTCCTAAAACTAGCTCCCAAGGTCTATCCCTTATTTGGCCACTTTCTTCTCCTGAGGCTGACCACCAAAGTCCAGCTATCAAAGTATTGAAGCCTAGCAATCAAAAACCTCCTTTGGGTCACCTAATTAACATGCCAAATTAAAATTAAACACCTCATCCTAACATTGGGTTTCCCCTTGTACCTTTATAAACTGCCATTTTCTTGTGTGCCTTATCTGTCTCCTCTCTATTCAGAACCAATCTTTTGTCCCTCTGGGGACAAAAAGCCTCTGCCCCCTTTCCCTTGTCCCCTTCTCCCTCATCCCCTGTCTCCTTTACCACCACATTCTAACACAGACCTCTTCTTCCTCTCTTAAAATTTACACCTGCAAGGTAATTTGCTGCTGTTTTCTGACTCAGACAGAAAGCAGCAGCCACTTTAACTTTTCTTCCCTACTTGACAAAGGATCTGTCTGTGAAAACAGGTGTTTGAGTATGGTCTGTGCCAAATTGGGGGTCCAGGAGGAAGTCTCCACTGTTTGGGAGTCTCCTTCAAGAGGCCACTGGTGTATCCTATCTGAGCCAATGATGGCAGAGGGAGGGATCCCCGTTGGCAGGTGGAAGGCACTATGCCTCTCCTTTGTGTGTAAGCCACAATGGTTCCTGGGAATGTTTCCTGAAGGACACTATGCAGATCCATGACAGATTGCATATGTAAATTCTTAGAGTTATATGCACCATAGGGCAGGGTCTTGTCCAGTTTTGTCTAGTGCTTTAGCTCCAGCACCTAGCATAGTGGCCAGACACATAGTCAATACTGACTTGTTAAATGAAACGAGCCTAACTAAAATCCTACTCGAGACTAATTTAGGACATTGCTCCATAGGTGAAACATATAATTATAAAATTCCATAGCCAAAACTCACCCACACTCCAGCCTCCATCTCAATACTGCTATAAGCACACTTTTTTTTTCTTTGAAAAAGAAAGAGTTAAAATACAGTCGGTATATTGTGAACTGTTTTTTTCTTACTCCCACATTCCTTGTCCTCTCCTTCTTTGTCAAATTGTTGATCGCCAACATGCATATTAAATGGCATGCAAGGTGGTGTTGTAGAAACAATATAAGACAGTCAAAGAAAGACCTGTGTCCTCTTGGCACCTATTAGTGAGAAAAACAACTGTGTTGCTCTGAAAGGAAATTTCTCGCTCCTTGGAACAACACCCACACTAGCTCTTTGTTTTCCTTCTTGCCTTTGAATTTCTATATCTATGAAATATAAGGGTCTCCTCCTCAGTCTGCCCAGAGTCTCCTTACAATGGTGTCTGGTCATTTTATATGACATGGGTTCCCTCTGCATCAAATATATAAAATGATTCTCCAAAGGTGTCCATTGTGCTACAAGTAGAGAGGCTCTGGCTTAAACTCTACACCAGTGAGCTACTGGAGCAGAAATAAGAATGTGGGACCAGGATCCAGGCATCCAAGGCAGCTAATCTGTCACTCTCTCCTCCCCAGTGGCAGGCCATATCCCTGACAGTCATCGAGAAGGTTCAGATCGCAGCTGCCATCTTGGGTTCTCTCTTCCTCATCGCCAGTATCTCTTGGCTCATCTGGTCGACCTTCAGTCCCTCAGCAAAATGGCAACGCCAAGACCTCCTCTTCCAGATCTGCTATGGGATGTATGGCTTCATGGATGTGGTGTGCATAGGTGAGTCTGGGGTGTTGTCTCCATGAGGGGTCCTGAGCTACATGGTAATGAAATGGCAAGATCCCTCAGAATCTCTTCTACTCGCAGGCCAAGCAGAGAAGCACTGGGTGAGACTATAGCTTTGTTATAAGAGGTGGGTAGGAAAGGAGGGGGGGCATGACAAAGAAGATAAATTGAAATCATTTTCAGACAAATGTGTCTGGCCCAGCTGAAGACAAGGATGAGGCTTGCCTCTGAGGTAAAGAAGGTCATTTGGTGAATTCATCTGCCTTACGCAGGGAGTGGAAGGCTTCTCAGTTGCACCTCCTGCAAGCCATGAAATGGCATGCCTATACAGCAAAATACCCAGAAGCAGCTATGAAACAACAGTCTTTTTCTTTTTACGTATCACATGTGAATGACGGTTTATACATACATGCACATAAAAGTGTGCAGATGCACAGCACACATGTTTGGAGGGTGTGTGCTTTTCACATGGACTCTGGGAATCAGAATTTAGTTCCTCACACTTGTGGTGCAAGCCTTTCTACTAAACTAAGTCATCTCTTTGGCCCCAGCCTTTTTCTTCTTCTCTAAGTCCATCCTTGGATCCCAGATTTCTCTACTCTAGTGGTTTGCACTGAATGTGTAGTGCTGGGATTCCACACAGCTCCAGGAGCCCTGTAGGAAATAGAATGCTTTTCTGAAGCCTCATCCCTGCTTCACCATGACCTTTTGGGCTTTTTATTCATTCCAGGTAAGATTTTGTTTGAAAGGCTTCAGTGTTTCAGGAAGAATATTAGGACCCACTTCTTTAGTTCCTACTTCTTCCCTACCCAGTCCTCAAGGCAAGTGGAAGGTTGGGTTATTTTTGTTTCAACAGATGATTGTGGCTATTGATTGCAAAGGTTTGCTCCATGCAAATAAAGAGGTGGAAATGGCTCTGGTTACTCTGAATGAAGCATGGACCATATAGCCTCATCTGGAATTCTCATTGTATCCCCAGGCCACAGTACTGGGAGCATGAAAGTAACACAATGTTCTTCTCCAACAGTGGTGTTACATCAAATATGCTACACTGCTCTGATTGACAGGAAAATGTCCCCTGATTATAATTTGACTGAGATGATGGTGATGTGACTTTCTTAGGAGACATTTAATACTAAAAATTGAAAAGACCTGGCGACTATCCTACTGATCACAGAAGCCATGGCTGGTCACAGTAATGCCAGACCTTGTGTGTTTATCTAAGGCAATATATTCTGTCTCCCTGTGCTAGCTAATTTAGTATATCAATCCTGGGAACAAAGGTTAATTTTCTTATTTCTGAGATTGTGAAATCTTGAAAGGTGTATTGTAGTCTAACTCAGCAGGAAAGTAGGACCTATGGTTTAGTGCTTTCCCAGGACAGGCTGACAGACCATAGAGAATGCTGGGAAGTGAAATGAAGCAGAGAGTGTCATGTGACCTAGACATTGGAGCAGAGGGTGATGGACAGCAGTGGGAGGCCATAGCAGATTCCCATGATGGTTGTGATGATGGTGGTGTGATGATGACCAGTGGTGATGCTGGTGGTTGTAAGGGTGATGTCCAGTAACAGCTTCTCTTGTTTGGCAGTACTGTATAGTAGTATAGGTAACATTGGGTGGGTGTAAAAATATAGGAGCTTTGTGAATGAAGGATCAAATGAAAGCTGCAATATTCATCAGCCCATGTTTTTATTTTTGCTCTCAACCAGTCACTCAGCCTCACTAGAAAGCAAACTTGGCATCTGCCTATGGAGTACAAGATGGCAACTCAGGCTTTCCTCTGTCAGAGAATTCTCACCACGTCCCAATTCCATATGCTTCTGAGTCCAGGCTCATCCCTTGGCTCAAAAGCAAAACGAGATCCACAATGTTTTTGCAGGGTCAACCTGAGCATAGTTTTCAGACCCCCTGGAAATGCTGGTTGGAAAAAAAATGTTGAGTAAAAGAATCCATATCCAACAGGTCCAAACTACTTGTATTAAGCAATACAGAACCTGGATAAAAATATATTGCTACGAGAAAAGAAGATAAGCCCAGGACAGGGTTGGCTCAAAGGGGCTAAGGGAAGAGTCAAACCATCTGCTGCTGTAAGCTTCTGGATATTTTTCTGTTTTTCAGACACCAGCAACAATTTGTTCCCTAACACTGCTAAATAGCCATGGACAGTAAAGATGTATGTGAGCACTAAATGGATAGTTCTTTATGTATGGATCTTCTAAAACATAATTTACTTCTCTGTTGGAGGAGTGTGATGAGGGTAGTGTGACAGTTCAGGATGGTGGGCGAGGCCTCTGTGGAGAGATTCCACTGGAAGCTGAGAGCAAGCACTGTCTGTTTGCTGCTTGTGAAACTAAGTCTGTCTCAACCGTAGCTATATCCACCCAGCTAGCTTTTAGGAGCAGTGGGAACCACTGAGAAAACCCAGAGTAATGATTCTCTCCAAGAATGGTCTTCAGTTCTCATCAAAGGATTTTGCCTGAAATGGCTGCCAGGGTCTCCAGGTTCCCTATCAAATGCAGCATATCTCTAAGGTTGAGGTCAGTGACATTGGATGTGAGCATATCATAGGTAATACATTCATGATACAAACTGTCCCGAAAGACCAGGCACCTCTTGGTTTAAAGTCTAAATCTCCTAGACCAGTGGTTCTCAACATGTGAGTCATAACCCCCCTGACAAGCCTCTGTCACCAAAAAATATTTACATTACGATTCACAACAGTAACAAAATTACAATCATGTGTAATGATAAGTGTAACAATAAATCTTTCTGCCGCAGCCACCTGAGCCCTGCTTCCACATGGGTGCTTTCTACCAGGCCACCTGAGTTCTGCCCGCCACCATGTTAAGGTGCCAAGTAACACCCAGAGACTTATATTAGGTACAAATGCTACTTGGCCAATGACTAGGAATTCTTATCTGCTAGCTCAGTCTTTATCATAAATCTATATGTAAGACTTATCTTATCGGACACCAGCCGAAGTCCTGTCTTCCCGGGCTCACATTGTGACTCTGGAGCAGAGACCAGGAGGAAGAGAAAAGTGACGACTTCCTTCTTGCCCTTGCTTATATATGTGTCTCCCTGCTATGTCACTTCCTGCCTGGATCACCACTTCTTTACTACATTTCCCAGAATCCTCCTCAACTCCTAGTCCCACCTATCTTGCTTTCCTATTGGCCAAGAGTACTTATCAACCAATAAGACAAACACATACACAGAAGTACTTTCCTCCATCAATCATGAAGTGGCAATGAAAGTATTTTTTATGGTTGGGGTCACCACAACATGAGGAACTGTCTTAAAGGGTCAAAGAATTAGGGAGGTTGAGAACCACTGTCCTAGACCAATGTATTCTACTATGAAAATCAAATGTAAGTAATGAGAACACATCAAATCACCAAATCCCTTGAAAGAAGTGATAGGGTACAACAATGTTACTGAAAGTTTTCTGTCCCATCCTGGTCCTGCAGCTGTTAGCCCCCAAATAAACACACGGACACTATATTAGTTATTAAACTGTTGGCCAATAACTAGGGCTTCTTATTGGCTAGCTCTGTTTTAATTATTAGCCCATTTCTATCAATCTAAGAATTTACATGTGGTCTTATCTTACCGGAGAAGGGTCCAGACCTGTTACTCCTTTGGCAGCCTACATGGCAACTGCTCCAGTGGGCTCTCCTGCCTACCTTTCCCAGAATTCCCCTTGTCTCCTAGTCCTGCCTATCCTCCTGCCTCATTGGCCAATCAATGTTTTATTCATCAACCAATAAGAGAAACATTTATACAGAAGGACATCCCCCATCACAACAACTATCTGATGATCAGAGGGGTGACTACTGTGCTCCATATTTCCCAGGTTAGTGCAGCCCCAGAGCAACTGTACTCTAGGTCACACAGCTAAGCACACAGTGGAGTTGAAGGTGGGACCAAGAACCTCTGGTTCTAATTCCAGGGTACTTCCTATGGTCTATTTTTTCTAAACATTTATTTATTCATGAATTTTATGTATAGGGGTACTTTGTCTGCACGTACATCTGCCCACCAGAAGATAGCATCAGGCAGTTGTGAGCTGTCATGTGGGTGCTGGGAATTGAACTCAGGACCTTCAGAAGAACAGTAGGTACTCTTAACTACTGAGGCATCTCTTCAGCCCATCTATGGCCCATTTTATCTCTGGTTGCTCTATATGAAATTATACTTACCACTTAGAGATGACCCATCAACATTGTAGCATAGCAGACTTCAAAGGAGGCAGAAATTAGCCCAGACATAACCATCACAACAATAACAAGTTCTCTGGGCCACATCTGCTTCAGTCTTTTGTTAGGGATTCAGGCAGTCAGCCATTGTTATACCTTTAAAAAAAGTCAGTGCTGCTTTTATGCCAATGGAGAAAGGGACTTTAGAAATTAGGATGAAATTTGGGTAGCCGATCTGCCTGTGATATCCTCTGGAGGACGGTATTTTAGGTTAGGTAAATCTAATTCTGCTGATTATCATAGACTTGGGAAATCTATTAATTCATTCACAAACATTATTGAGAGAGCATTGAATAGACACACTCAAACACAAGAGGCTCCGGTTCTGGTGGATCTTAATCTCCTGGAGGGAAGTGATCACAGACACTCAGAAATCAGCTTATGCTGGGGTATGAATACAGACATCCGTCCCAGGAAGGAGAAACTATTTCAAAGGGCTTAGGATGGCTTTATCTATTTCTTCAGTAGTATCTACTGGCTGCCTTGTTTTTGCCCCAAATCAAGAAACATGAAAGAGAGATGAATGAGACATATCTGTCCAAGGGTCGGGTCTCCAAGCACAGGATAACTACTATGGGAGGATGTCTATCAGAGGCAGAGAGGAAGATTGGACAGAGCAGAGAGCAATAAACTCTCTTGAAGACACCAAGAGGTTTGTTGAAAGAACCCTACCCTTAAGCCAGTTACAAAAGGGAAATCAAACTTTACCCAAAAGAGGGAGAAGAATATTCTA